AACAGGACAAAATGTTGCATTGCCAGTGCAGCGGTAGGCTCTAAAAAGATGTCTCTATCCTTTTTAATGAGTATTAGGCATATTCAATAATTCCATAAAGAAAACGATGCTGTGGTAATGTTGTGATACTTTGAACTCCGTTACAACAAAAAATAAAGCATGTGTTGTCACACTGATTTCAGTAGGAAAATTAAGCATATGCTTAATCCTTGACAGCATCTGAAATTGCTTCACTTGGGTTATGTCTGACATAAGTTTCAGTCTGTTTTGTTAAGATGTTCTTTCTTCTTTTCCCCTTCTTATTCTTCACAAGGCTAGAGATAAATTTCATTATAAAACTAAAATGCAGCACCAAGATGAAAAATCCAGAAATACCCACAATGGAAGGGTAGATCATGAAGATGGCAGAACTTGTAGAAATAGCTAAATTGACTTGCTTGATTAGAAAAGTAGCTGGACTAAGTACTTTTATAAAAAGACTGGAAACCTTTTATGGACTTTTTGCTGAAAATTGATAAATATGAACTGGTGATTTATGAATTTACTGATTAAAAACGGCTATACATAGGAAGACGGAAACTGTATTATGTAATCTAAGAGAGTGGAAACAGTATTAACTATGTTTGTAACTGCTGCAAAGAAGATGGGAAGTTGCTTCTTTAAATATTTCTTTTTTTCTTTTGTTTCTTGTTTCTTTCTGGATCTGTCCTGTTATTCACTTTTTCTTCTATCTTTCTTCCCTTTTTAAAAATATCTTTTCCACTTTTCTATATTTTATAATTTTCTGTACCTCTTAACTTTTAAAAATATTTTTCTTTAATAAATATTACATAAAAATAGAGAAAATGTGCTCATTTGAAAAGATGTTTTTTCCCTTTGCTTTCCATAATCAGCATACTGTTGGAGAGCCATGTTTGTCTATGATAGACAAAAATCAGAAGTAATCTGATAGTGTTGTTGTTTTTTTAAAAAAAACACAACACTGGGCAGCTCACTACAGAGTGAATTATGAAACATCAATTTAAATTATGTCAATATATTGAGAGAAGAGCCTCAGTGCAATCGATTAAGACTAAACAACAGTGAAAGAAACAAGTCTGTAAGATACTTGTTTTTAATTGTCCATCAAAAAGTAGTGCAGAAGAGACTCTGGAGAGACAAAAAGGGAAGCCGGTATAACTTATAGATTCAAAATGACCAATTCTTTGCCTAAGGATACCTTGAGAGAAGTATTTCATTTTCCTTTTATTAAATACTTGCACCCACTAACTACTTATCTTCTATATTATCAAACTTGGGGAAATGGCTTTCTGAATCTTTTTACATTTCTTTTCCACAAATGCCACAAATTTAGACTTCTAGTTCTCCTGAGAGTCAAGGAAATGTAGCTAGAAGTTGAAAAAATTGACAATCAAGTCTAGTTTCTTTGTGGTTTTCAGAGATATCGAAAAGCTAGAATCTTATTTTGTAATTATGCTTGTAATTTAGACAATCAAAAAGAGAATTTAATTTCATTTTGGCCAAGCTGGCTGACGTTGTTACAGAGGCCTTCATTGCAAACCTCTGCTCCAATCTCAGTCTTGCACTGAACATGTCTCTATGTGTGTGTGTGTGTGTGTGTGTGTGTGTGTAGTTTTGTAGCATGTTGGGGAAAAACTGCTCCTATGCTTTCATCATCCATTATATGTTCTCTCATACAATGAAATATAATCAAATCGATTTTATTATAGGTAGTCTTCTGGAGGGGCAGATGTAACATAAACAACAGTCTTGGGGCTACATACACAAATTTGTTAAAAGCTTTCATGGATTAGAGCCCAGCTGATCAGCTTGCATTGCAATCAGTTTAGTCTTTAGGGAGCCACAGAACCCTTCCATCTCTATTCAACAGACAAGCCCTCTGGAATTTGTTACCATACAGAATACCAGATTTAGTGTAATGAAGAACACCTGCATCCAAAAAATAGATTTGCTCATAAAAATAAGCTTCATTATAAATGTGTAGGTTTATCATCCATAAGTTGTAGAAAAATTGAATCAGAATCAAATGTAGCTCCACAATAATAACAAAATAGTTAGTGGAAGTTATTAAGCATGACATCTATAGCCGGAAAACAAACGTGCCCTTTCATAAGAACTTGCCTTTTCAATAAACCTTAGAGTAAGGCACCAGCTTAAATAATATAAAATATTGTTATATTTTATAATATTAGACCATACAAAATGACAAAGCAGAATGCAGCCAAACTGACCTCTCTCCAAGTTTTAAATGATAAGAATGTGATTTTCAATATATATAATAGCAGACTAGTTTTATGCTGGTCCATGACTGTAATACAGAGTTGATCGGACCAGTTTCAGAAAATTGCCAGTGATGACAATAAATCTCAAAGACTTTGCAATTGTATATAGCAGTGATGGCGAACCTTTTAGAGACCGAGTGCCCAAAACCCGCCCCACTCCTGCTCCGCCCGCCCACTCCGCCCCTTCTGCCACCGCTCCGCTTGCCCACAGGGCCACCCACCACCTCCACGGCCTGCCGCAGATCGCCCAGCCAGCCCTGCAGCGCCATGGTGGCCACGCCCTCTGTCCGTGCCCAACAGTATCATCCGTGAGCAATGGAGTGTGAGGGTGGAGTCTTGTCCTGGCTGCCATGTGCTTGGCTGCGCTGCTCCGTGCAGGCTGCGCCGGGGGTCGACTCTCCTCCGGGGGGGCTGCTGGTGAGGGGGCCATGGGGGGAGGCAGGGCTGGGGCGATGGCGTACATGCCCACGAAGAGGGCTCTGAGTGCTGCCTCTGGCACACATGCCATAAGTTTGCCATCACTGGTATATAGTGTGTATTTCACTACTGTGCTACAAAGTGAATCCATGAAACACAATGTGGTTTTCCTATTCCTTCTCTTGCTGTTATTAGTGATCCAGTATAGTTAATCTGCCTATTTATACAGGGAGATCTATGAGAAAGCCGGCTATCATTTGTTAGCATCTAGTAAACCATACTTGCGCACTAAACTTACTTGCAACTAATGCATTAGCCTTGGCGACAAATGAGTAAGTTGAACATGGAAGTCTTTACCTTGATCAGCTTTTTATACCCAACTTTCATTTTAAAAATGTCAGGCAATCCAGGAACAATGTCAGTTCTCATGTTCTAAGGCATTGCAATAATTACAGTTGAAACACTGCTCAATCCTGTAGCGTAAACCTAGGAACTGTATCTAGATATCTCGATCGATATCTAGTATATTAATCTAGGTGTCACTTCCCCAACTTCAGTTTTAACAGTCAAAATTAGAAATAAAATTATGTCAAATGTGAAAATGTGACATAACCCTCATGAATGGATTTGAAACTGTGCTGTATACAGTACACTATATTTGAAATATTTTTTTTATAGAAAATATTGGCTTCCTGCTCATTTTCAGATTCCAGTTATAGCGAGTTGTTGGCATTGCTGTGGTTACAGAGCCTTTGTGCCCATCTAAACTCAGCTGATATTAATCTGCCTAAGAGTATCCTCTATTTGGATTGAAGTTTGCTTCTGGGTTAACTTGATTCTCAACTCTTCTATCAAGTTTTCAGGATCTTTGCCTATTTGGCTGTATTAGAGTTATCTATGGAATCCATGTTAACCTCGAAGGCACTGTTAATGAAGTAATTTTCATTGCTAGAGTGGTGGTCCTCAGCCACTGGAAATCCCCAGTGAACCAAGAGAAGTAAATCAAGAACTGGTACAATAAACAGCCTCCAAATTGTCACATATATGCTGGGACAGAGATCTGGAAAATAACAAATCTATTTTGAGTGCATCTGTAGAGGTTTACAGAGATCAGTTCAATCTTCTGTTATTTTGTATGACGTGCAGTTTCAATTAACATTGCTTTTATTTGTGTGTGTGTGTGTGTGTGTGTGTGTGTGTGTGTATTTAACAACACATCTGACAAGATAAATAGGAAAGGAGTGAAAGGAGTGAGGAAAAACATAAGGATAATAAAACATTCAAGTAAATGTTGACCAGCAAGGGATACTAAGTTTTTTTGCCTGTACAAATAAATTATAAATAGATTCATTCAATTTTAGGTTGTGATCCTTCATTGTATCTTTCTCAAGTCTTCAGTTTTCATCTTTATTGGTCTTCCTCGCCGGCAAGCTTGTGCTCTCATTATCTCCTCTCCTTTAAAACAGTTTATGCTAGTTTATGAAAAGTTTTCCATATAAAAATAATTTACCCCAAAGGCAAAATCAATTTATTTAACCTGAATTAAACAATTCTAATATTATTTTGAAAACGGTTTACTCCCTTCTTAGTTATTTCTTTGTTGTTTTTAATATATTTAATGTATTTATTCTATATTTTAACCTTTTATAATATTGTTTTAACAGATCGTAAGCTGCCCAGTGTGACAGCAAGGTGGATAGTCAATAAATTTAATAAATAAATAAATTTAATAAATAAAAATAAAGAGTACAGTCTGTTCATCAAAACATATATTAATGACAAAGGAGTTTGTTGATAATTAGAGCACATATGTTGCTTAGAATCAATTACCACTGAAGCAGCATATAAGCCCAAAAAGTATGCACGCTCTACACACACATTTACAAAATCTTTTCCAGCAAAACATGAGACAGAAGGGAGGAAAGAATATAAAAAAATGTGCTGTCATTCCATTGTTTATTAACAATTCTTTGACATGCTTTTATGTTGAGTAGAAGGAAGTGGTCTAGCATGTGCTGGGTGGCCTCCCTACTTTGTAAAGGGTCTAAATTAGTAGTCTTGAATGGGACATTTTCTATGTATTTATTGTAAAATGGAGGAGGAGGAGGAGGAGGAGGAGGAGGAGGAGGAAGCCAATAGCAGAGAGGGCATGTTTTGTCACTGATTATGACTTTGCTGCTGTCAAAAAACCACTCTAAGTAGCTTGGCTACAAATGATATAATTAATTAGTCTTGACCCATGTTATCAATGAGGTATGACATGACACAAACTGAGCTCACCTTAACATAAAGTTGCTGAAATTCATCTAAGTTCAGTCTTCCACTAGGGCAATCTTTTAGAAATCCTTTGTACCACTGCTTGAGTTCATGTTCATTAAATTCCGTGCTCTTCACCAGATCTTCCATCACTTCAGGAGCCAGTTTGCTGTTCTGCTTCCCCATTATGCCTATGAAAAACAAAAGAGATATTATTATAAGTGGCTTGTACTAAGGGATGGTTAGCATTTAATCACTGGAATTATTTTGAAGCCAACCCCCTAAAGCAGGGGTGTCAAACCGCCAGCCCACGGGCCAGATGCATCATAGCAAAACCGTGCCCACCCCATTGCCGGCAATGGCAAAAAAGTCATGATACGTCGCGACACATCACGTGACGTTGCAAGTTTGACACCCCCGCCCTAAAGCTACTTTGGATATCAATCCAAGGTACTGTAATTTTTTTTCTCCACAACTGGTTATGGCGGACAAACAAATGCCTTCCAGGGGGGAAGACCATCCATCCCATGCTTGACATAATACCGTTGTATAAATTTAGTTGAACGTTCATGTACAAAATTGTTACAGTTTGTAGCTACTTAATCTTTCACCTGAGTACCTGGAGAATGGCTGATTCAGAATACAATTTCTTTTTTCAACATTTGTAAAATCAATGCACAGTCTTAACATTAAAAATTCATGTCAAAGAAATATCTTGGTTCACTTACCTTTCTCAAAACATAGCAACCCTCTATCAAACATTCTTAATAATGAGACAGCTGCTTCTTTTAGCTACTTTTCTTGCAGATGGTCTGGCCAGATTATAACACCTTACCTAAGTTTTTAAGGTACTGGATAAACCAAGAATCTCTATCCTTATATAAAATTCAATAGCTTTTAATATAGCTATTAAACAGCCTTCCTTAAAAACCTGAATATAAACAAATAGCTGTAATCCTATGCATTCATTCCCTTGTATTTGTTGAATTGGTAAAACAAAACCATTTCTCCCTTCTTCAGTTTGAATGGAGAAAATTGTGCCAGATGAGCAGGCCTGCTCCATACAATCCTCAATCATAATTATACAGCTTTATTCTTCCATCTTCTTCTCAAACACTACTTCTTTTATTATCAAAACTAGATTGCTAATTACAGTCCCTACTACAGTTCTGAGTTTCTATCAAGCTGTGAATCCAGAGACTTCTTGTTGCAGATTTAATTAATGAGAATAAGAAAACTGTAATTCATGGATTATCTAGTCTATCAGTAAATGGATCCTAACACTTTCCAATGTACTATTCTATATTGTTACAATGAATGGGGTTCATTTCTGTGACACTATGACTATACTATACTTGCAGCCACCATAAATACACATACAGAGAGACACACAGACACACACACACATAACGAAAGAATTAAATGAAAGGTAAAAAAATCTGCATTGAACTAAGCTTCACCCCTGGTGAGATGTTGGGCACATCTATATAGTTTCTTGAAAAAAAAATGGAAGTGCTTTGTCATTTCTTTTTCCTTCTGGGATATTTTTTTTCAAATTCCTAGTCTAGCCTGTAGCCCAGGAATTTCCAAATCTCCCATTTAGCACCAATCTGGTGAAAACAGCTTTTTGAAATCAATCAAAATAAGCAAGGTGTTGTTACTTATTGGCTTAAAAAAAAAAGCTTTGGTGATTATCACAAATAAACAAGCAAACAAATAAGCAGTTTGCAAAAGCACAAAGAAACACCATTATGCTCTACTACAGTGGTTCTCAACCTGTGGGTCGGGACCCCATTTGGGGTCGATTGACCATTTCACGGGGGTCGCCAAGCAAGGCTGTCCGCCATTTTTTTTGTCCACCATTTTTTCCCCCTTTTCCGGCGGGTGCCTTACCTCCCTTGGGCTGGGCCAGCTGGTGGTCGGCCTGCTCTGTCTCTGCCGCTTGCCAGCTACGCCTCGGCCGGCGCAGGGGGCGGAACCACGCATGTGCGGCGCTCCCGGGCAGGGAAAGTCCTCGACTTACGACCGGTTTAGTCCTCGACTTACGACCGGTTTAGTCCTCGACTTACGACCGGTTGGGGTCGCGGCATTAAAAAGGTTGAGAACCACTGCTCTACTAGGTGGCAACCGCCACAAAGCTTTCTCCATCCTGATGTTCTCCAGATAAGTTGCAGGAATTACGGGAGCAACTTGTATGGGTTTGGGAAAAACACATGCTAAGAAGTTGATGATCGAACTGCAAATTTTAATCTATCTACTCAGAAGTTCATTTCACAAAATCCAACAGAGACAATCAGAATTATAGCTGGAAACATACTTGGAATAATGTTTTTTTTTTAAAAAAAAAATATTGTAGTTTTTTTGCTGGCTGCTCTAGAATGTTTGCTCCCCTATATTTTGCCAATTATAGATGCAGAGAACTCTTGATTGCCTATTATCCTAAATGCAAAATCCTATGCAAATTTACTTTGTATTTGTATCCACTGAATGGTATTGACACAGTACTTTTAAATAAATAGGCTAATTTTGTGGTTCCCTACAGCATTGTTCTGAACCTACTGCTAAGGGGGAACAGGGAAAGTCAAGCTATATTACATTTATTTGAACAAGAACAAAAAAAAACCTTGTCCATAAAATCAAACAAGTGTTGGATACCTTACCTTCTGAGCAAAATCTGAGCTGTAATTTCTGAGATCTACTGATTTGTTTTATGCTGGAACCAATAAGCAACAAAACTGAAAAAGAATTCCAGACTGATGTTGCAGATATGAAAGTACTGGTGATATCATAATTTACATCAAAGCTGTGTAATTAATTTTGACTCCAAACTTATAGGAAAATTAAAAACAAAAACAAATGAAGTCAATCCAGAATGTTCTAATAAAGTGGTATTTTGGCAATGACTTCAATAAATTAGCACACAATAATAATTCAGTAAACGTGACATTCCTAAATGGCAAATATATCAAAATTAAAATAATGGCAACAATTTCAAACTTTTACCACCTGTGATAAGAATTCAGCAATTTTCACATGGGTTTGAGATTGTCATTTGATTTTGTAACGTTTTTGCCTTTATTATTAACCTTTTGGCCCTACCACGGAAAAGTTGCAAAATCCTATACTGAGGTTTGTACAAACTTTCTCCCTGCTATTGCAGTAATCTTAAAAAGTATAATGTTATCACTGCCATGATTGCTATAAAATCTCTGGAACACAAATAAGAAATGTAGTACAGTATTGTATACTGATTCGAATATTTGACTAGGATCATACTCAGATTTGTAGTCCCATTCTGCTGTAAAGTTCATTGGGTGATCTTCATTTTATTTCTTAACCTAATCTACATCTCAAAAGTACTGACAGGATAACTGAGAGATAGAGGAAGAGAGGAGTACCATTTGTGCTGCATGAAAGATATCAAGGCAGGAAAATGGTATTCTGGAGAGGTCCCTTAGATTCACTTAACCATCTGGCCAAGGTCTCATGCTGAGGTCAGAATAAATCGACTGTTATTCGCTTTAACATTAGAACCATTTGGGAATTAAACATGGGGCTGACATTTCTATGAGGAGGAAATAACGCATCGTATTATATACATGAAGTATAGCCCTGACTAGACATTAGAGAAAATTAGGAGTCCCAATTTTCAAAACACTGTACATCTGGTAATGCTGCCATCTTTACTATATTATTGATTTTGCTTTTGTAGATTGGTGGGGTTTCAGGTTGAGACTAAGTAGGTTGCTTATGACTAACTGATGAATTCAGAGAATATGAACAATTTGAAAGCTGAATGTTTTGTCCATCCATCCATCCATCTTTCTTTCAATCGTTCTGAACTAAGGAAGACCTTGGATTACCAGTTACACAAGGGGGAGATGGCATTCAGTTCTAGGTAATTTTCACACTTCTAATTTTTCTAAAAAGGAAGACCAATTGCAAAGCTAAGATCATAGTAGACTGTGAGTTCTGTTGAATACCTCTCCTTTGTACCCTTTTGGAGCAAGAAGCGTACTATAAAAGACCTGTATCATTTGTAAGTGTTGTAGCATCCATTTTTCTGGATGTGGGGAATGCAGAAGTTAAGAACGCAGGAAAGGGTAAAATGAGCAGTTCTCAATTGTAAAATAGAGCCCCATGTTTACTAGCTGAATGGAAGTTCTCAAAGTTGATCCTAACTTATGCAAAGTATACAAGGGGAGGGTAAATACTGAGAAAAACATCCCAAGCAGGTACTGAATTCCACACAATGTGATAAGAGGCCAATTTTCCTGTTATTTTTCATGAAGAAGCTTCCCCTGCTGTGCCCTGGTAATAACTATGACTCTTGACAGACCTCTGGGCACCATTCCTCTGTTCTCAGGCTTCTTTTAAGATGATGGCCTTTCTTTATACTCCTGTCAGCGTGAAAAGCAGACAGAAGTGATAAAAAGCTGTCAGGCCCCTGTCATGTGTTAGACCCTTTCTTATATAATTTCTTGGAGGAAGAGTTGCCAGAAAGCTGCCTCCATTCCTTCAAGAGGAAGCAACAGAAATTTTGCCCTCTGCTCTATTCAAGGCACTGGATAAATCTTGGAAATGGCAGCTCTTCAAAGTTGAGATGCATAGCTCTGGAAAAAAGTCTTTCCCCTTAAAATTAGAAAGTAATCTGTTCACAAGAAAGAAGATAGATTTTCTTCATCAGTTGGAAGGAACTGACTGTGGGAGGAAGCAACTAATATATCTTGATGTGTTCATTTTCTGGTTTCGATTCTCAGTCCTGAATTGGAAATAAGTGTTCCCCATCCTTGTTAAAACTGAGTCCCTCCACCCTGAGAACCGGGTATTAAGTTACCATATGACAGAGCTTAAGAGAAGATTGCTTGTCAGTTTTATTGCAAAGAAGAAGAAAAATGGAGCTTCTTCACCAAAAGAGTAAGCAACTCACTACTATTTTGAAGGAGCCATTACAATTTTCTATAATGGGCAACAAGGGTTCTGCAGACATGGATCCATCTAGCTGGGAGTCAGCTTCCGAAACTCACTGGGGGTCACTTCTGAGTAAACAGTTTGGTACACTAAATTAGTCTGGTTGTTAAGGCACTGGAATAGGAGCAGGGAGATCCGTGTTTTCATTTTGCCTCAGGAACAAAGTCAGCAGGATGACATTGGACCTGTCATTTTTCTCTCAGCCCTGGGAAGAC